TATACAATTTTGCGAATGACATTAGTCAATGGATTATACTCTATCACCCTGTCGTGAATAATAAGACAATAAGCTGTGGTGTTCAGTGGAATATTTTCCATACATTCGAATTCTATACGAATATCTACAGTGGCGCTTTTTATCGATTCGTTTTGGCGAGAACAATCGATCATTACGCGAATGGACCGTGTACAAGAAATTCTCCGATAGATAACATAGGATCGCGATTGTTGTAACCGTAGTACGTCTTTTGAAATTTTACATACATATCGTACAGTATAGCGTATTTTTTGTGTTCGAAATCTAAATTCATATTGTTGTAAGGATAAAAATCAGAATTCAAAAAAAGTTTCACATTAGTGAGATTACATATGTCGAATTATGAACAATTTTTTGACATTACGTTTCTTTTTCCGGTTACAAAAATTACGTATCGTGGTTTTTCCAATTGCGACGTTGTTTTAACAGCCCACGAATGCTTCGTTGTGCTTTGCAGCAGAGGAAATTCGTACAGGTCCCACGACCGGAAACATACGCTGAGATATCGTCCACCTTCCAACGTTCGCAAAAGTGATAATTTATTGACATCGTTCAACACTACATGTGGCATTCTCCATTGTATCTTTAATAGTGTGATTTTAGGTTCCATCGATTCGTGCGCCACAACACAATTGTTATCGTTACGCGCATGTATTAGGATAAGTTCGTGTCGCGCGTTTATCACTATGCGTTTGTAATCCTCACAAAATCCTAGGAGTGTGTTGAGTGGTACGCAAAAGTTGAAATTCTCGGAAAGCGGTGCGCGAAATAACTGCATCGTGCCGTCCCATCCTGCATTTTCTAACGTTATACTCCTGCCAGTGGTTAACGATATGAAATTTTTTATTGTACTGGTAATACCAACGTTTCTAGATCTATCGATTTCCACACCATCTAACTTGTACCGAATCTCATCGAACATGAATGCGACGCAATTATTCGACAATTTGGAGGTTGTTCTTCGGATGTGTTTCCATCTCGTTTTGTCGTTAAAAATTTTCCCTCGACGTAGAGAAAACTCTCACACGGTAACGTGTACAGATCCTGATGCTGTATAGGTATTCGTATTTCATCGCTGTATCCGAATGTGGTATTAGCGTATGGGTTGTAAGTGTGAGTCTCGATCTTAATGATACGATCGTCGAAGATAGGCTCACCCCCTATGTTTAGAATATCGCGACTCATTGTTCACGATGAATCCCAGAGACCGTAGAAATTTAACGTTCGCAGCGTTCAATCTCTCCTCCGTTCCTCTCCGTTTTCTTCCAACGTATCGTTCGGTGAGCAATGATAATTGCGACGTCTGCGGTATGGTGGACGTATTCTTACAATCGCGAGACTCGTTTAGAACGAGCATCTGAGCATATTTTTACCGTCTGCGTCGTATATGAAGTCGAATCGATATCTCTTCTCCACGAAGGTTTATCAATTGTCCGTTTTGATCCACTATACGTATCGTTATATCGGTAACGTTTCTCGCGACGACTGGGAGATAAATGACATGTGTGGGAGTATCGGATAATTTATATCCAGGTGGAACGTTCACTGCGAATTCATGTATCGTATGCGCTGGTTTATCGTTATTGTACGCACCCGCGGTAATGTTGCATTCTATACGAAGTATAGTTACATTCATAATATTCACAGGTTTGTCAGACGCGTGCCACTTGTTCGGTTGTAATACGCGCGATTTTGAATAACC